GTTTGCCCCTCAAATGCCCCCCCCCCCCCCAAATTTGGAAGCCTGGCGCCGCCACTGCCTTGGACCAGCTTTAGCGAAGCATAAGTTTAGGTTTTCTTTCACGAAACCTGCAAAAAAAGGATCGTCCATTTTCTCGTATGTCTTTCTTAAAATTACGCCTTTACCATACGCAACGGCGACCATGAGATGCAATCGCCTTCCTCCAGGCAAATCTTTACTTCTTTTGCTTGTAATCTCTAGTCCTTCACCTCGCTTTCTCCACACACGCGATTTCGGTTGCAGGGCTGTTTTAAGTGGAATGTATTTGTGAACAAATGAAACGCCGTCTAGATAGAATGAGATGTCATGTGTGTAGAACTTAGGAGAGTCTTTAAGTAATTTTTTGGCATTTCGTGCATATTTGGTTCCAATTTTTTTGTCAGATTCACTTAATAATCCTTTTTTTCTTGCTGTAAATGGTGATAACCGGCGCGATTAAGATAAAGAGAAATTGTCCTTCGCTTTGCAATGCTTGGATCCAGTCCACTTTCCTGTATAACATCTTTCATGGAGAAATTCACTGACGTCTTTCGTAACGTCTTAACAGCTCGCAATAGTAATCTTTCATCCCTTTCGTTAAGGCATCTTGGTCGTCCAACTCTACCATTTGAAATTTTAGGCACCAACTTCCGACGCAATTTCGTGTTGCAGATTTTATGAACAGCTGACTTAGACACTCCACATCGCGCAGCAATTTTTCTATAGCTCAGTTCAGTTTCATTTTTGTACAAACGAATCAACGCTGTTGTTTCAGGGCGAAGCTTGTTGACCATTTTTAGAAATAATTAATTAATAATTACATGTCTATGACGAATGTAATTAATCTATTTACTGCACAACTTTAACTCCAGACTAGGACGATATATTAGCAATTTACTCGAAAATGGGCGCATATCATGGCGAAAAGCTGCTCACCCCAAAGTAATAAATATGCTTTAAAAAACAATTAAACCAGTTGAAACAACATGTTTGTTATCCTAAAGCAATGGCAACATCAAAAATGTATAGCAGAAGGGCTGCTTTGGTTGAAAATCATCGATATTTTTTTCAGGTTATTTTCAGACAATCCTGGCAAAAATTATGTGGACACCTAACTGTTTTATCGCCAATAATGGCAATATTAACATTGGGACGTTATTTCATTAAATTTGCCGCCCCCCCCCCGGCCCCTGTTCAATGTTGTTTGTCGCATTTAAATTTTAAAGCTATGTTTAGGTGATTTGCCAACATTGAATTGGGGGTAGGAGGGGGAGAATGTTTTGAGTGAAATAAATTCTGTAGAAATACATATAGTTTTGTTTGACGCAGGCGCTGTCCACGATAATTTTTGCTAGGATTGTAGGTCCGCAATCCAAGAAGTAGTGCAGTTTTGTGCCTTAGCAGTGATTTCATTGGTGTTCGATGAAATTTTTTTATGCTGAGTTTCATGAAAGAATTCTGTAACCTTACCTTGCATGATTTTCTCAACAACATCATCATTATCATTATCATCATCGTCATCATCAACATCAACAACATCAACATCATCATTATCTCAACATCATCATTATCAAAATCTCTAAGGCATTCTTTCAAATTTTCAGGATGGGTCGCAAAAGATCCCCCTTCGATCAGCTCTGCTTCAAGTTCGGCTTGTGCAGCTAAATCCTTGCATTCCTGTATGCTACGCCTATCCGCTTATTCTTTTGCCGCTCGTTCTTGTACGTGTTTAACTCTCTCTATTTCCCTCTGACGCTGTTCCTGTATAAGTTCAAGTTTCTTCGTTGCCGTTTACGGTCTGATCAGATTCGTGATCACCTTTCTCGTTCGACATATTTCTCGATATTTCTCGCTTCTTTCGGGCTGTATTTGATCGCAGATTCATATCCGGCTCGCTAAGGACAAATGTAACGGGCTTCTAACGCGTGGTTCATAATTCGCTTGAAAGACACTGAAAATTCTTTATAAATTACATTTTAAAATCGAAATATATAACGATAAACTACATAGTAGCTCAACAAAAAAGTTCACTGTTCGTCTCTCGACCAGTGCTTCCACTTTTCCGTCGACGTCACTTTCGATAAAGCCTGATTGGCTAACATAACAAGAATAAATTATACTAAATTAACGTTGTTTATACGCGTCCGGACGGGACAGCCGATGTAATTTAACTTTTGGTTACAAAAACAGTAAATATATTAATTATATATATATATATATATATATATATATATATATATATATATATATATATATATATATATATATATATATATATATATATATATA